AACAAAATTTAAACCAAATTTACTCTTAAAGTATCAGCCACTAAGACTTCAAATTTTCAATACAAAAGGTAATCTCTTACTCCCACTGATTAACAGAGACAAAATTATATAGATAAATTAGTATTACTCCCACTGATTAAGAGAGTAAAACAAAACTTTGTAAATGGCTACAAAATGAAACAGATACCTTTCATGTACTCCCATTGGCAAAACATTAGTCATGGGATTTAGAACATAAAATTTGTGAGCTCAACATCTTTATTCTAGATATCTGTAGGAAGTAACTCTTATGACTGAAAAACTATACAAAATCATTTGGTTAGTTTTGTTCATCTAACATTTGACAGAAATAGAAAACTTTAACTAAATGTTTTCTTATCGCATCAAAAGCATATAATTCCAGAATCATCTTTGGACAGAAACTAATTATATTACGTTTGCATAGCTAAAACATAAAATACAAGGGTAAACTTATATAGCTTCAACACTTTTGAGCAGATGAAGTATATACAATCTTGTCAATTCCATGTTTCACTATACATTGATTTATAGTTGTACTGAATAAGAAAACACTTTTGAGCAGATTAATTATTCCTTAATAACATATAAATCACAAGTCCAATTTCTTGAACAACAAACAAGAATTAATAAGCAAAACACTTTTGAGCAGAATATACTCATTAACCCTTCTTGAATTTCTAGCAAGATTAGTTGCATATATAAAATATAAACAAGTATGATAATGTACGTTTTATCTACCAAAACTATGACCATTAAAAGCATGCAAAATTGATGAGTGTGAAGCCCATAATACATTATTTCTCCCACTTGGGCAAACACTCAAAATTGCAAGATTAAACACTAGAGAAAGTGATTTTCATATAACAAAATATAGGCTAGTTGAATCAATAAAGATCAAATACATATATATATATATATATATATATATATATATTTTTTAATAGGTTCGAATTAAAAGTTCCATAACTTATGCAATTACTACAAATTTTATTTTATTTTAGTGTAAGAGAGAAGACTCACATATGTGTTAATGATTAGGTCATAAATTAAAATGAAACCTAATAAGAGAATCCAAACTCAAAATTTATGTTTTAATTCTAAAACAAATTCGATTAAAATAAACACTTAGATATCTCAATAACATCAATTTTTCAACAATAATTTTAATCCAATTTAGAACTCAGAGAAAATTAAGACAAAAGATTGGTAAACTTACCTACTTATTCTCGATGCTTCAAGATTCATCATGGAAGTAGTCGAGTTGTGGAGGATCAAACCAAACGCAAATTGCATGATCGTTACACCTTTGGGCAGAAACTAATCATGCAAATAAAATACTTGCATAGCTAGCCAAAACATAAAATACACAAAATACATATAGCTTCAACAGCTTTGGCCAGATGAACATATGTTAAAAGTATTTTATGATTTGCTGTAACAGTAATTTATAATTGGTGAGTGATTTCCTGAAATTCCCATTGGGACAAAAGTATTCACCATATAAATTAGAATTCTGATTTTTCAAAATAATCTTTTAGAACAATATTAAATAACCATTTTCTGGATATTCAATGATTCTCAAAAGATTCAATCAGACACAAAAAGTATGTCATTGTTTGACATTGAACAATAGAGTTCTCGAAAGAGGAAACATGGTTATTCAGTTATTCGATAGAGACCCAAATGATCAATTAGTAAACTGATGCCACTTTCCAATTTTGTCTCAAAAGACAATTATCATCATAATTAGAATTGATGACCAAACAAAACATTGGTTTAAACAAAACAAACCAATACATCTTTTAAATCAAAATTTAATCAGTGTTGTCTATAAAATTCATTAGTATTGAGAATTTGCATAAAACAAGGACATATTGGAACCATAACCTTGTATAATAATCAGTAGCAATAGATGTGCACAAATCAGTGAAACAATATCACATAAGAAAACTAGTTTTGAAGTACCAAAATTCAGCAGTACTACTTTAGTTTGCAAATTTACTAAAAAATTCAATTCTCTTTAGATTGTCTTGAAAATTTTCTAGTATGAACTAGACATATATGACTACTATTTCACAAAATTTCATGATTTTTAAAATTTTTAAGCGAGCCAAAAATGAATTCGAAAAGAGAGGTGCTGCAGAAACTGCAGAAAATGTTCAGTACAGACCTGAGATTACAAATTCACAAAATATTCATTGTTCATCCGATATGCATGAAAATTTTCAGACATAAAGAAAACATACAAAACTGTTAATTCCCAAAATTTCATAATTTTTGAGATTTTACAAGTGTACTAAAAACAAAATCGAAGTAAGTTGTGCTGCTGAAACAACAGAAATTCTGCAAAACATACCCGAGATTAAATAATTCACCAAAACTTCAATCTTCCTCCAATGTGCATGAAAATTTCTAGAAATGAGTAGACATATATATTTACTATCACTCAAAATTCCATAGTTTGTTCGATTTTACAAGTGAGCTAAACATAAAATCTAAATGGAATGTGCTGCAGAAACTCCATAAATTCTGCAGTACAGCCTCGAGATTAAAAATTCACCAATAATTCATTTTCAAACAAATGCTCGTGAAAATTTTCTTCTTTAAAAAAGACATCTCAATGCATATCATACTAAAATTCCATGAATTTAGGAGTTGCGTAGGTATATCAAAATAATATCACAAACATATTATGCTGCAAAATTCCAGTAACATAGTATCACACTTAAAAACAATTTACCATAAATGCATTTCTTGTACAAAAAAAAAAAAAAAAAAAAAAAGGAACGAAAATTTTTCTGTATATACAATCCATTTAATATTACGACATAACCGAATTTCAAAATATTTGGAGTTATGGAAGTCTATCAAGCCCAGGTTATCGACATGAATGGGTTTCCTTTTAATGAGACTTTAATGGAGTCATACCCCTATAATATTATAGTTTGGAAGGACTATAATTTAGCATGATTAATTTTGACAAAATTTTAGCAAGAAATAATTCACACCACAATGAATCAATTTATTAAAAAATTGAAAACCCCAATACGAACCGACTGAAAGCAATTCATAATAATGTAATTAACCACACATCAAAATTATGACAGCAAGCAATCCTTCATAATACAATAATTTGTTTATGTATACATAAGTTGCAAATAGTTTCACCAGTATCGGTTCATCGAAAACAAACAGATTGGGAATGCCTTTTATAACATGTTAATTAACAATTGTAACTCAAAATTTGCAAGCATGAAAGCCGATAAAATCTTCTATGATGGCTCACCTAGGAAACCAGTATCCATAAGGTTAATTTGATCCATCAACTCAAAATAATATGAATACAAGCAAACTTACCAAATTTAAAAATTTAAAGGCTAGTTTATATGGCAATAAGCGGAAACAAGAAAAAACACCAGAATCATATCAATTAGTCGAACCAATATATATGTATGTATGTATATATATATATATATATATATATATATATATATATATATATATATATATATATATATATATATATAATTTTAGGGTTTATAGGAGACAAAGAAACCTGAGAAAAATAGAGCCAAAAACCGCCGGAAAAATATTTGAGTCTCAAGCTTATGTTAATTAGTTGAACCTCTAACCAAGAACCATTAAGCAAACACTCACATGGTTCATCCAAAATAAAATCAATCATCGATTTATCTGTCAAGTCGTTTAGTGATAGATAAATGATATTGATTCCTAAAGTTTTACTTCATTTGTTGAAGTCTGATACTCCTTCTATTTGATGCCATTCTGATGGAAGCAATTAGCCAATATGCAAAGTACCAGTTTTGATGCGTGCGAAATATGCAGCAAGTTTACAACAAACTCATTCAAGATTGCGGAAGCATTTAACCAAGATCATCCAAGTGTTTTCATTACTCTGAATGGATGTAATTCTCTGCATAAATGTAACAAACACAACTCGAAGAATACCATGAAAAATTAATCATGCAATTGAGTGTAAAAGAAATTGCAGAAGAATTGGTTAGAGTATAGCGGAAGCATTAATTTAACCAGAATCAAATATATACCTCAGTTCCTTTAGTAAAAATAAAGAACCCTAGCCACGTTGGGTGGCTCTGATGGAGTCGCCATGGAACAAACAATTGAATCAGTCTTCTATAAACAAATTTGCTTATACCTTTATATCGGACCCTAAGCTTGTTGTGCGGCTCTGATACCACATGTTAGACATATTCTGAAATCACAACAACAAGACATTAGGATCACAAATAAATCAAATCAATATAAAATAGAAATTAACTAATTATATTAAACTTATCTGTAGAATACGGAAGACATTGCAAATTTCTAGGTTGTCTTCTACTTCCAGTACTTCAATAATATCTCTCTGCTGTGAATAGGGTTTAGCGTATTTTGAGAGATTAAGCGTATGGAAGCAGGGACTTAACCATAGTATTTATATTATTAGGGTTTAATCATAACCAGTCTATTATTGGTTGTGAAAGTCGAACCCTATCACTTAAGTGTTTAAGTCCCACCATGATACTGTATCTTTGTAGTGAAATCCATCAGATTTCTTTTAGGTCAATTGCAAAGGATAAGACTCCATAATCCTTATTTCATTTGGACTATCAGATTACTTAAGTTGTTAACAACTCAATAAACAAGTGGCCTACAACATAAGTAATCCAATACATCATTCATTGTCATTCACAACCTTACACAACGACCACTTGAAATGATTTTAGGAAAAGGTATTAGCCTTGCCGAGGAGTCTGTTTCTTTTGATATATACAAAATATATACAAACGAGTTCTGGCATGTTCCTTGTTCAGTCTGCAATTAGTTTAGTGATTTCTTTATTGCTTTTATTCTCAGTAATTACTTATCATTTCAGATGACTTGGGTCCATAAGCATTTAAGCATTATGTAGTGGTATTAAATGCAATGGACTTGTTATTAGTAGTGTATTTTTGTTACTGCAACAGAGAAAAAAGAAATGACTGGCTTGGCTCTTGGGGTGTCCAGCATGAAGTCTGGAGAGCGGGCCCTATTACATGTAGGCTGGGAGTTAGGGTATGGGAAAGAAGAGAGCTTTTCTTTTCCAAATGTTCCACCATTGGCAGATATATCATATGAAGTTGAGCTTATTGGATTTGTTGAAACCAAAGAAGTAAGTTGCTCACTTGCGTTCAAATGTCTTCCCAAGTAGTTACCAATGGAAGTTTCAGAATCTCTTTTCCAGGGATTTGCTTCAGTAATATAGTAACATGTATATTTGTGGGTTCTGCCTTTCATAGGGGAAAGCTCGTAGTGACATGACTGTGGAGGAAAGGATTGGAGCAGCAGCAGATAGAAGAAAGATGGATGGAAATGCTTTATTTAAAGAGGAAAAACTAGAGGAGGCAATGCAACAGTATGAAATGGTTACGCACTTGTAATTCTTACATATGTTATTACTTATGGCTGATGAGCTTTTGAGTTGTACAGTCTGTTTTTTATATTTCCTATCTGACAAGATTCTGGTGGGTTTTCTCAGGCTATAGCATATATGGGTGACGACTTCATGTTTTTTATAAAGCTCATGCATTATGAAGAAGCCATTGGACAATGCAGTATTGTAAGTATAATGCTATCACAAGAAAGTCATCTAATTTCATGTGTTCAGCAATTGTGCTATTCATCATTAGATACTAGAAAGTTGGGTTTGTAGGCTTATTTGGGAGCATAACTGCATCCCAAAAAGTTTGAATGTTCGTTCACTTTAACCTGCCATTTTGGATTGCCGTAGAAAATGAAAATGCTCTTATTATGGACCAGTGAAATATTTGTAGGCTCACTGGCACCATTCTTCAGTCAATAATCGAATTTTAGGTCCCATGCGACTCTTGTGATCTCTGTAGTATGTTACTGTCCATGCTTATCCTGTTGTTCAAACTATATGGCTGTTATAACTTTAAAATTTTCAATGCAACTAACGTCTAATAATTGATTTTTCTGCATCGTACGGAGTCGGGTGATATTTACCATTTTCATGAATACCCATAAATTGTCAATGCAACTAACCTCTATTAATTGATTTTTCTGCGTCGCTTGGAGTTGGCAGATATTTACCTTTCATGAATACCCTTAAATTGTCAATGCAACTGTGAACTGTAATTGGACAAGTGAATGCTCGCAGATACTGGCAGAGGATGAAAACAACGTCAAAGCGCTATTTAGGCGAGGAAAAGCCAGAGCAGAGCTTGGGCAGACAGATGCGGCGCGGGAAGACTTTCTAAAGGCGCACAAATTTGCACCTCAAGACAAAGCTATTGCAAGAGAGTTACGTCTGCTTATTGAACACGACAAGGCTGTTTATCAGAAACAAAAAGAAATCTACAAGGGAATTTTCGGACCAACCCCAGAACCTAAACCCAAACGGGATAATTGGTTGATCATCTTTTGGCACTGGCTGTTGTCGTTGATCTATCGTCTCTTCAGGCGCGACAGGCATAAAGCTGAGTAGTCAAAGAACTTAAGCTCTTGAATTGTATGATAAATGAAGAAATTTGTGTATTGAACTTGCTAATAAACAAGACTATGAAATGTGACCCTGAAGGTTCACTCATTTAGCCGGGGACGAAGATACGGTGATCAGATTAAAGTCTAGGGGTAATCTATAATGGGTAGAATCTGGGGCTGTAATGGAATTTCATACAAACTAAGTGTTGATGTTTTTTTTTCAAACTTTACCTACATGTTATCATAGCATCTCTCATTTAAAAAAAATAAAAGAACTCACATTTTCCCTTTTCCATTTATATTTACAAATGGCAGACATTCTTACAAAGGCTCTACCGATTGACAAGTTCTTGTATTTCAAAGCAATGCTCGGAGTAAAATCAGCTGCAAGCTTAGGAGGGAGTGTTGATGTCTAATAAGCTTTGTAGCCATGTTCATGAAGAAAAAGGATGCTTGATCCATTTAGGAAGCTTTATATTTCAGTTGTAATGCTTTGTAAATGAACGACCAAGATTAGAAAGGGTCATGATGAGTAGCATCTACCGATCACTCACTTAATTGACCCATGTGCATTGCACATGTTTAATTTTGTTTGTCTGGTAGTGGTGGAGGTCCAACGGCTATATGCTTATAGCCTCTCACACCCATTTGATGCTTGAATTCCTTCACCGAGAATTAAGGAAGTGGAGTAACTACTCCGTCGTCTTCAACGTCTCTCACTCTCCATTGATCGCTGCAATTTCTCATTTCAATTCCTTGTTGAAGTTTATTGCAGCATAAACCACCCTAAAACACCTAAAAATACAGAATCTAACATTCACAACATCCACATGTAAGAGAAGCAGCTTGTTGATTAGTTTTGGTCATGAGGCATTGCTTAGTTATAGTGAGATATCAATTAGTTCAGGAATAAGTTGGTGTTGCAAAAATAATTTCATTGTATCCAGCCATCATTTCAAATACAAACTTAAAAAAAAGAAGGCTTTTTAGCCAAAATGGTTTCTGAGATTTGCATAACCCTTCACTTTGATCCCTGACATTTGAAATCAATAGAAGTGGTCTCTGAGTTTGTCCACTATCAATCATTTTGGTTATTCCTTTAAAAATCTCTATTAAATAAAGATAAAATGACAAAAAGACCCTCAATTTTTGTGAAATCATTTTGGCCCATTGTTTATTAAATTGAGGGTATTTTTGTCATTTGGTCCTTAATTTTTCAAGGAATGACTAAAATGATTGATGGTGGACAAACTTAGGGACCACTTCTATTGATTTCAAATCTCAAGAACCAAAATGATGAGTTATGCAAATATCAGGGACCATTTTGGCTAAAAAGCCAAAAAAAGTTATTTGCTCTAATGTTGCCTCCCTCTAATGACATTACAGGTCCATCGTCTTACCTTTCAATTCTTCATGATTTAATAGAAGTCAAGAACGAAATCAAAATAAATAAAAATTAGTAGGAATTAATTTATCATTTTAGGGCGTGTTTGTTTGCACTCACTAAGTATCACTGGATTGGACTGGCTTACTAAGAATATTAATCCCGTGTTTGGTGCGAGCCAGGATTGTGTTTAATGGGACTACGTCGGACTCGTGCCGACTACACTCTTCACTAACCGGTCTTAGCGAGACCGCCCAAAAAGGATGGGATTGCTAAGACCATCGCTTCGCTTCGTCTGCTTAGTCTTCGTCTTCCTCAACTCACTTTGTCTTTGTCTTCCTCAACTTGCTTCTTCTTTTAGATCCCGCACCAACCGTCGCGCCCTACTCGAGTTTGCCAAGAGCTTCGCCCGGAAGATGCGCCAGCAAGTTTGTCTCTTTCTTCTGCAATATTGATTGAAGTTGATTTCGTGAGGTCAATTGAAATGAATTTGCAGATCCGACGATCCGACAAAGCCTCTGCAAATTTAAAAAAAAATGGGGATTTTTCTGGGTTTGATTTGAAGAGAAAGTTAGTAAATTAAAAGAAGAAAAATATAGGTTTGAATTCAAGAGAGCAAATGCAAAGAAGAAAAAATGTGGGTTTTTTTTTTCTGGTTTGAGTTTTACTAGGAGCGAATCTGGGCGTGAAGAACCAAAGCAAATGAATGAAGAAAAGAGAGAGACAGGGAGGAAGACGCAGGGAGACGCAGGGGGGAGGGGGGTGGAGAGAAAGAGAGTCAAATAAAAATAGTTGTATTTTGTTTTGTTTTTTTTTTAAGATAAAAAATGTGTATTAATAATAGTAAAATGAATTAATGAATGACAAAAGAAGTATTTGAACTCTAAACACTCCACTATTCTTATCCAGCTTAGTCTAAGCCAAGTTAGGCTAACTTAGTCTCGAAAGTTAGTCTAATCCGAGATAGTCCGGTACAACAAACGTATCCTGAATCATGTATGTTTCTTTCATTGGCAAGAAAATTTGGTTTTTATTTTTTTATTGAGTCTCACTCTAATCCAATATTATTAATTTTAATAATATCTTTAATATAAAAAGTAATTAAAATAGAACAATAATGTAGTCCTAATCTAAGCAAACATCAAACTGGTAAAAGTATTGTTTTAATTATCCTGCTTCTTAGTTCGACACTGCACCAAACGCTTCACTAAGCTAGTCCAACTTAGTCTAGTCTAAGTCAGTCCAGCTTAGTCTCTGCAACTAGTCTAGTTCGGAATAGTCCGATATAACAAACGCACCCTTAGGGTTTACGGGGAGGATGGCATAAAGTCCTTTATGCGATTACCATGTTGGAAAAGCTTGGTCTATTGAGGTTAAGTTCCATGGAGTGGGCTATTACCAATGTTGTAAAAACTTGGTAACACCCTTTTCGGCCACTTGTTATGCTTCCATGAGCAAGTTGGGGCGCAAGATGGAACGAAAAGTTTAAGCGGCCCAACTTGGTCATCACTCGAACTGTGAAACCAAAAAAAAAAAAAAAAAAAACTTGCATAAATTGATTCATCCTTATTGGTAAGATCCAAAATTTTTAAATCACCATTCATCCATCAAAAAGAACTTGATAAGCGTCTTAGGATTTTAGCCAAATAGATCGTTAGAGAAAAATTATGTGATGGTAAGATTTAATTGTTAGCTGTGGGTTTATTGATAAATTTTAGATGGGTAAAGTACAAAAAACTATCTCAACTATTGATGTCACGACACTTTCATACCTCATCTTTTAAAATTGACAATGTCATACCTCATCTTAGGAATTTGTGACAATGTCAGACCCCCGTTAGTTTTTCTGTTAATTTCTTTGTTAAATGCTAACGTGGCCCGACACGTGTCCCACTCACTAATCCAACTGGATTAAAAAATAATAAAATATATTTTTAATAATTAAATATTCAAAAATTAAAAAAATTAAAAATTAAAAAACTAAAAAAAAATTTAAAAAATGGCCTAAGATCCGGCCTTCCCTTCCACCCGCAGCACCAACCCTTTTTTTTTTTCTCTCTCTCTCTCTCTCTCCTCTTTCTTCCTCCTTCTTTCTGTAGCCATTTTTTTTTCTTTTTCTTTTTCTTTTTCTTCCTCTTCTTTTTCTTCCTTCTCCTTCTTCTTTCTGGGTTGTTTGTTTGTTTTTTTTTTCTTCTTCTTCCTCCTTCGTTCTGGGTTGCAGTGTTTTTTTTCTTCTTCTTCCTCCTCCTCCTTCTTTCTGGGTTGCAACGTTTTTTTTTTCTTCTTATTCCTCTTCTCTTCTTCTTCCTCCTCCTTCTTCTTTCTGGGTTGCAGCGTTTTTTTTTCCCTTCTTCCTCTTCTTCTTTTTCCTCCTCCTTCTTCTTTATGGGTTACAACATTTTTTTTTCCTTCTTCCTCTTCTTCTTCTTCATTATGGGTTGCAGGGGGTGGACCTGGTCGAGCGAGGCGCTAAGGCAGAGCTCCATAGCGAGAGCTTGGAGAAGTGGGTCTGTGGCTGGTGGCGGTGGCGGTGGCGGGTAGGGGTGGTGGGTTTGGGTGTAGCAACATGTATTGTAAGAGCTTTTGCAGCAAATGGCAGTGGTGGGAGGGGGAGATGTTGGGGCGGGTGGGATTTGGGTTTGGGGTGGTTCTGGTTTTGGGTTGGGGTTAGGGGAAGACGGGAAAGGGAAGAAATGGTGAGGGGATAAAGGTGCATAGAGAGGGAGATGAGAGAGAGAAGAGAGAGAGGAGAGAGAGGGGTCCCAACATCCCTTTAGGCCATTTTTTTTTAGTTTTTTAATTTTTAATTTTTGAATATTTAATTATTAAAAATATATTTTATTATTTTTTAATCCAGTTGGATTAGTGGGTGGGACACGTGTCGGGCCACGTCAGCATTTAACAGAGAAATTAACAGAAAAACTGACGGAGGTCTGACATTGTCACAAATTCGTAAGATGAGGTATGACATTGTCAATTTTAAAAGATGAGGTATGAAAGTGTCATGACACCAATAATTGAGGTAGTTTTTTGTACTTGATAGTACTTTACACATTTTTTTTTTTAGTCAAAGGTAATTTACACAATAGGGTAAAAAGACAATTCACATTTAATATTTAAATTAGGTGTAAAGTGAGGTTATATGAGTTTAAATAAATTTTCCCATAAATAATTTGGTATTGGAGACCGATGAAATTGCAAATGGATTTAAAAAAGTTAACTTTTTTCATACATGTTCGTTTTGTTGTTTATTATTATGGGAACTGTTATTAGCACTCCAAAAATTTTCTTTTACACTTTTCACGAGTGTGTTTTTCTTTATAATTATAAAAAAAATTAAAGTACAAAATGAAAATTTTCAAGTGCTAATAATAATTCCCATCGCAATCTTAGTTGATATTGATGTAACTTTAATGCTTTTTGCGGATAGCTAACTATAGTTAAGTTGTTTGTGCGAGACATTCTTTTTCCTTCGACCGGGTTGAATTCCCCGGCAAGATTTGTTATCGAATCTCTTTTATGCACACTATCCTCTTACTTTGTACGTATTCTCCTCTTTAATGAATATCCTACTTATTTCAAAAATTCCCATTATTATTCCAGCTTCTCCTCTTTATTTTATGCATGGAATGATGATGTATGAGTGGTTGGATGAAACTATTAATTCATAATAAATTGTCGGTGGCGTTGGTTCTGGTCAAATTATTTTAATGTTTCACCCACCAAGCCGGCATTAATAATATAGTGACAATTCTTTTGTTTTTATCCACAGAATGCTGCATGAGTGGTTGGATGAGAGGGGCATATAAAGACTAGCAGAAGGAGCCATCTTTCACTACGCAAAACCATATTCTCGGTTACAAGCTTCTACTTTAATTCACTTCATTTGTGTTTTACCTTGTCCTGAATACAAGAAATGGCGGAAGGAGTTCTTTTCAACATTGCAGAAGGGATCATCGGAAGGCTAGGCTCCCTTGCTTTCCAAGAGATTGGATTGATTTGGGGTGTCCAAGATGAGTTCCAAAAGCTCAAGGAGACAGTTGCCGGATTCCAAGCTGTTCTTCTTGACGCTGAGCAAAAGCAAGCCAACAATGAAGTCAAACTGTGGCTGGAATGCGTAGAAGATGCAGTTTATGAAGCCGATGACGTGTTGGATGAGTTTAATACTGAAGTTCAGCGGAGACGTAATACTAAGGTGTTAAAAAAGGTACGCATGTTCTTCTCTTGCTCAAATCAACTTGCTTTTGGGCTAAAGATGTGTCATAAGATAAAAGATATTAACAAGTGGCTTAGTGCAGTTGCATCTAGTAGAACCTTTTTATAGTCACATGAGCCTATTGATATCCACCTATTAGGAATACAATAGGTCTCTCAATAACTCATAATTAACTGCAATAAATCCTATACATTATTGTTTAGAATGTTTCATATAACTTACCATTACAAAACTATATTAACTTAATAATACAGTTCTATTGAAATAATGATTGTGTTTACTCAAATTCTTGCATGTGCGCATCTTCTTTTCTAGCTCAAATCAACTTGTTTTTGGGCTAAAGATGGATCATAAGATAAAAGATATGAATAATTAGGATCCGATCCCTAATCACCAATGTTTATTAATTGAAACATTATTGGTTTTAAATTTTTTATTGAAGTCCTTTGACTTATGCCCACATCAAATTCTTAAAATTAATCAAATTTTATGTCAAATTTTCCTTTTTATTAAAAAAAACTCATTATTCATTTCCTTTTATGTCATTTCAGTTTAGGATAATTGATTATGCACATAATTTAAGGGATTTTATTGCAACTAGATATCCCTAACATCCTTTTAATTTGAAATTTAAAAATGAATTTTTATACGTTCCAATAGTTTCATCTCGTTTTTCTTTTGACTGAATTTAATCCATCTTTTATCATAATCATGGGTACGTACATTATATTTCCTAGAACGCATATGGATACACTTTCTTTTTTTGGGAATAATTAGGATCCGAGTCCAAGTCACCAATGTTTAATTGTTTATTGATTGAAACATTATTGGTTTTAAATTTTTTATTGAAGTCCTTTGACTTGTGTCCACATCAAATTCTTAAAGTTAATCAAACTCCATGATTTTCCTTTTCTTTATTTAAAAAAACTCATGTATTCATTTCCTTTTATGTCATTTCTGTTGAGGATAATTGATTATTTACATAATTTAAGGGATTTTATTGCAGCTAGATATCCCTAACATCCTTTTAATTTGATATTTAAATGTGAATTTTTATACGTTCCAATAGTTTCATCTCATTTTTCTTTTGACTGGATTTAATCCATCTTTTATCATAATCATGGGTACATTTTATTTGCTAGAACGCATATGGAAACCCTTTTTTTCAATCGAATTGGGTACATTCTTTTGAAATTTATAATTACGTATAATTGTACTCATCTAATTATATGGGTACATTCTTTTTATAAAAAAATATTAGGGGTATACACATATCAAAACAATTTTCTTTTGGGAGGATGTTGGAATTGTACCATAATTTATGTTTGCAACTGTATGGGTACATTCTTTTAACAAGTAACTACTATTATATCATCCGTATCACTGTGATAGGTACAATTGCAATTGTCTCCCATATATATGAGTTGATTTTTTAGTCTCATGTTTTCTATGAGTTTAGAATTTACCCACTTGATTATTAGTAGATTAATGTTGTGGTGGTTTCAAATTTTACTATTTTTATACTTTTTTATGTGTTTAGAATGCACCCGCTTGATTCATGGTTTTAATGTGTTTAGAGTGTACCCGCTTGATTATCAGTAGATTATTGTTTTGTTGGTTTCATATAGAATAATTATTATAAAATTTGAGGTTCATAAATTAAGGAATTTCAAAAATAGATAGTTGACATGGAAATACTTTAATAGCAATATGATGAGATGTACAAAGTCAAAGGACATTGATAAAAAATAAAAATAAAACTAATAAGGTTTCAGTCAAACAATATTGGTGATTAGGGATCGCATCCAAAGTCTATTGACTAAAAAGATATTGACGAGAGGCTTCATGCTGTTGAATCTCGTAGAACCTTTTTGTAGTCACATAAGCTTATTGATATCCACCTATTAGGAATACAATAGATCTCTAAATAACTCATAACTAACTGCAATAAATCTTCTACATTATTGTTTTGAATGTTTCATATAACCTACCGTTACAAAACTCTAATAACTTAATTAATACAATTCTATCTAAATAATGATTATGTCCACTCAAATTCTTACAGGTGCGTCTTTTCTTTTCTAGCTCAAATCAACTTGTTTTTGGGCTAAAGATGGGTCATAAGATAAAAGATATTAACAAGAGGCTTACTGAGGTTGCATCTCGTAGAACCTCTCTACCCTTAGAAGTAAATCGTGAAGATACACCATTTATAATGAGAGAGAGGGTCACTCACTCATTTATCCCTAAGGAAAATATTATTATAGGGAGAGATGAAGATAAAAAGGCAATAATCCAACTTTTGTTGGATCCCATCTCAACTGAGAATGTGTCAACCATTTCCATAGTTGGATTTGGAGGATTGGGGAAAACTGCACTTGCCCAACTGATATTCAACGATGAGGAGATTCAAAATCATTTTGAGTTGAAAATATGGACATGTGTCTCTAACGTATTTGAGTTGGATAAAGTTGTAAAGAAAATCCTTCAATCCGAACATAATGGGATAGAGCAGTTGCAAAATGATCTTAGAAAAAAAGTAGATGGGAAGAAGTACCTACTTGTGTTGGATGATGTGTGGAATGAGGATCAGGAGAAATGGCTTAGCTTGAAGTACTTGTTAATGTGTGGTGGAAAAGGTAGTAGAATACTAATTACCACTCGCAGTGAAACCGTTGCGACAATATCAGACACAGCTAAACCATACACCTTAAGGGGTTTGAATAAAGAGCAAAGTTGGTATTTATTTAAGAAAATGGCTTTTAAAGATGGAAAAGAGCCAACAAATTCAACAATTAAGACAGTTGGGACGGAGGTTGCAAGAAAATGTCAGGGAGTTCCACTTGCTATTCGGACGATAGGTGGGATGTTGCACACCAAACTTCACGAAATAGAATGGTTGAATTTCAAAGAAAAGAAACTTTCAAAAATAAGCCAGAAAGAAAATGATATTTTACCAACACTTAAACTAAGTTATGATGTGCTCCCATCACATTTGAAACATTGTTTTGCTTATTGTAGCTTGTTCCCACCTGATTATAAGATCTCTGTACAGAGATTGATTAGACTTTGGGTGGCGCAAGGGTTCATTAAGTCATCTGATGAAAACGAGTGTTTGGAGGATGTTGCGTTTGGATATTACAGGGAATTGTTGTGTAGATCGTTTTTTCAAGAAGAAGAAGAAGACGAGTCTGGTAGAATAGAAAGTTGTAAAATGCACGATCTCATGAATGAACTTGCAATCTTAGTGTCGGGGGTTGGAAGCGCCGTAGTTGATCTTAACCAAAAGAATTTTCATGAAAAGCTTCATCATGTGTCTTTCAATTTTAAGGTTGATCCGTTGGAATGGGAAGTTCCAACTTCTTTGCTAAATGCAAAAAGGATACGAACTTTTCTTCTTCCTTGCCAAGAGTATTCGATTGATAAAGATGGGTCATTATGTAATTCATTTTGTGCTACAATTGTTTCAAATTTCAAGTCATTGCGTATGTTGAGTCTCAACAGATTAGGAATTATAACATTACCTAATTGTCTTAAAAAAGTGAAACATTTGAGGTATCTTGATCTTTGTGATAATCCCATGGAGAGACTTCCGGATTGGATAGTTGGACTTTCGAATTTGGAAACACTAGATCTCACAGGCTGTAGTAAACTTGTGGAATTGCCTAGAAACATTAAAAAAATGATCAACTTAAGGCATCTCATCTTGGAAGGCTGTTGGAAGTTGACTCGAATGCCACGTGGATTGGGTGAGCTGACTGGTCTTCGTACATTGAATAATTTTGTTTTGAGCGAAAACAATTCCATGTTGAGAGACAGTGCTAGTCTTGGTGAACTGGGGAGGCTTAAGGAATTAAGGGGACAATTATTTATTTCCAATTTGAGGCACGAGAAAGATGTGATGTCGGAGTCAAATGGTGGTGCATTACTGAAGGAGAAACAGCATCTCCATTCGTTGGGTTTATTCTGGAAAAAGGGAGACGATGTGAACGCGGTTGATGAGGAGGATATTATAATGTCAATGGAAGCATTGCAACCCCATTCTAATCTAAAACAGTTGTTCGTGTCTGATTATGGTGGTGTGAGGTTTGCGAGTTGGTTTTCTTCTCTCATTAATATTGTTCATCTCACATTGGTTTCCTGTGAGAGATGCCAACATCTTCCACCCTTGGATAATTTGCCTTCCCTTAAGATTCTTGTACTTTCAAGGTTGAAGAAGTTGGAGTACATATCAGCGAATGAGAGCAGTAATAGTAAGAGTGATGAGATGATGAGGATGTCATTCTTTCCCTCCCTGGAGTACCTCTGCTTAGAAAGCTGCCCTGTTCTGAAGGGATGGTGGAGGGCGCACACTCATGACAGTGCTTCTTCTTTTCCCTGTCTTTCTGAATTGACTATCATGTCTTGTCCTAATCTAACTTCCATGCCCCTGTATCCGAATGTGGTTGCAATACTTCTCGATCAAACCAGCTCGAAGGTTGTTCCCTCCCTTGTTAGAGGAGCATCTGATATTACACATGATGTTGGTATTGATGTTTCTGTCTCTTCTTCTTCCCCTCATCTCTCCAAATTAACACATCTGACACTTTATCGAATTGAGGATTTGGAATGTATATCGTCGGAAGGGATGGGGAACCTCATATCACTCCAATCGTTTTCCATTCAACATTGCCCAAATTTGGCATCACTGCCAGAAGGGATCGCCAGCCTCACAGCACTCCAATCGCTTACGATTGAAGATTGCCCAAACTTGGCAGCATTACCAGAAGGGATCGTCGGCCTCACAGCACTCCAATCGCTTACGATTGAAGATTGCCCAAACTTGGCAGCACTACCAGAAGGGATCGCCGGCCTCACATCACTCCAAAGGCTTACGATTAAAGATTGCCCAAATTTGGCATCACTGCCTGAAGGGATTCGTTGACTTCGCTGTTTAAATACATTGCAAATTTGGGACTGCCCCATGTTAAGTTAAACATGCAAGAAAGAAACAGGTAAGGACTGGCCTAAGATTGCTCACATTCCAGACATTCAATTGGTTCAGGTGTGTTTTCTAACTTGTTTGAATTTACACTTGCCTAATTCAATAAACTATGAAATGTTCAAATGCCATTCTCGTTTCTTAATTTTGTTCTTCTTTCATCATCACCAGCATTTCTTTTCTTTTTTCAGATGACATACCATGTGGATCGAAAATTTCGTCGTCCACAGTTTTGCTTTCTCACCCACTAACTTCCAAGTATTTTTTTTTAATTTCGTTCTTTTCTATTATGTAGTCTTATATGCAGTGAATGGGGCGTCAACCCTTTGAATTCAATATGTGATGACTATGTTGACTACTTAGAGTGGTTGTATACGATTTTGCTTTTGATCGTTAGGGTTTAGATACTATGCCCCCCTGCTGTATGTTTTCTTTTTAAATAATATAATATGGGCGTGAGGGCCTAGCCCCCCAGCTTCGACTGGGTTCCAGCCCTCTTTAAATATTTCTTTTTAATATTTGTTGATGTATTGGAAGTGGAATCACCTTTCTCACGTTATAACATACAAGTCGCATAATTATACACAAACAATGATAAAAGAAAATGACGTCTATTAATTGTCAATGCACTGAAGTAACCAAATATTCTAAGACCGAAGGAACTCCAAAATCTACTCTGGATGCGGCTCCTGACACAAATATCTGCTCCAAAACCCGAAACTAATCACAATAAACGCTACATTCTCAGTAAAGCAAATAAACTGATTATGTTTTGTTTAGTCAAAAGGAAATTCAAGACAACCATTACAAAACAAAAATATTTGTTGTGTTTTCTAAGTCCTCTCTCTATAAACAAAAATAAAAAATAAAATGGATGGAGTGGAGTGGAGTGGAAGCAGAGGAAGAGACTGACCTCCGACAAGGGCGACCGTCAAAAGAGCTTCCCAGAGCAACATGATCTCGCTGCCATGATAACCTTTGTACACAGGCAATTCTAAAACCATAAGATACCTAAAACAAACTTACTGATATAACAGAATGGTTACACCCAAAGTTATTTAATTCAAACACCTAACTCAAACCATAAGCACCATGATAATCCTCAAACCCGGTAAAGAGTGTATTCTCACAGTTGTAGAATCCCAAAGCCACGCTTGAAATGTCTGAAGTTGCAAAAGATAGCATCATCCACCTAAACATATTGCAAATGAAAAATGTTTTAGCTCCTAAATCCAAACAGCAAAAGAAAAAACACAGAAAATTAAGTAAACAAAATGGAACTGAACTTGCACAGCTCGCTTCTCAAATTCACGAAATGTTGCTAGAATGTCGTAGTTGCGCGTCAAATTCATCAGGTAATTTCTGTTGCCAACGATTTTCTATCAAATGAATTCATTTTGTATTCAAATTCTGAGTAATTAATAATAAGAAGGATACCATGAATTTTATTTACCTAAATCTTGTAATTAATAATAAGAAAAATATCATGAATTTCATTTTGGGAAGCTGCTTTTAGCTTTAGTAGCTTCATTTGAGAACGCAAATATGGCATACCAATTCTATATTTCTAATCAGAAGATGTTAAATTTTTTTTTAGTCGTCTTCAATTTGTGGCACTTCATTCTCAATAAAGAACATTTCACAAAATTCCATATCTAATACAACATCAAAGGACCGACTGAACAGGAAAACGACATCATTCATTATCCAGATTGAAACAAAAATCCCACTAAAATGACTACTCATAAGAATCTCATTCCACAAAACTTCTTCAGTCCAAGCCTAAACAACTGCAACCAAACAAATCCCCAAGATATTTCATCCACTGCCATTAACAAAACCACAACCTATATCTTCCTTCAGCTAAGATTAAAGCAAAAATTGAAACCCTAATCATTCCCAAACATGCTTTTGGAATCAGAATAGAAAGGAAACTTGAAATTAGAGGATCATACAGAATTCGACTGGGGATTGGACTCGTGCTCGAAATCGACCTCTTCCTTTTCCTTTTCAGATTGATCACCTAATAGGTTCTGCATCACCTGGTGCCACTTCTCCTCCCCCATCGCTACTGCAGTGTGTTGCGGTCGGAGCCCTCAAACTACTGACATTAAATCGTTCATTTGATTAGATCAAAGAAAATATCACCATAGCATCCTGCAAATTTCAAGAAGTATGTGTCGAAACAAATCTGAAAAGAATGAAAACCCTGTTAACCAAACACATCAACAATAACATAAGCCTCACCACCAATCCGACATGGCAAAATCCAGTCAACAAAACAAAAAATACTCTGTAATCCATCAGCCAATATACAGCAAGTAGAAGCAACGCAATTTTCTTTTTAAAAAAAAAAAAAAAAAACCAAATCCGTAATGATCCGAACAGTTAAAATTAGGGTTTGATAACTAATGCACCTATTGCTATTAGACTTTGATCCCCGGGAATTACTGGATACTGTTGCTGATGCCATTGTGTTCAAGCCAATGGATTTCAACCCTTTTCGGCAAAACATCACAAACTCCATCAGAAAAAATATTCTCAAAGATAATGGGTGAGGGAATTTCATTTGAATTGCCAGAGGATGCTGTTGAAAAGATCCTGACTGGAATATGGCTAGGCCGGACTGGCTTAGAGGAATGGGCAGAAAAGGTTCTAGCTCCGAGCATCCAGCAGCTTAAATACCCAAATTAATAACCAAATAATCCAAAATCATACAAAAACCAATGCTTTCATAGAAAAATCTCTAAAACCCACAAACCCCAAAAAAAAAACAAAACAAAATCATACAAAAATCTCACCTTGCTCAAAAATACTAATTAAGATTAAGGGAGCAAGAACACATACAAACTTGGAAATGTCATACAATCCAAACCCGATTCCAATATTAGCCACAACGAAATGAGGCTGTATGGCCCAGCCAGAACCTTCTCGATAACCTCCTTCACCGCAACATGTCAAGTCCAACACAAAAATTGAGTAACTGTGCGAGAAAATTTGAGCTTGTGATGGACTCTAAACCAAACCTTAGGCGAGGGGTGGAGAGAGAGGGCAGAGGCGAGCTTCGGGCGAGCAAGGATTCGGCTGCAGATTTGGTTCCAGGATTTGCTAACGCACGCCGCTGATACAAAGGATAAGGCGGGTAGGTGCGAGAGGATGTCGTCGAGAAGGTCGTCGTTTAGCAGATGATGCGAGGAGGGAGAGGGGAAGAAGCTGTGAAGAAGCAGAAGGCGATGCGTAGTCGAAGCGGAGCATCCCACGATGATTGACGCGTGGGCAGGCAGAAAGCAGACTTAAATCAACCAACCTGATTCTTATACGACATGACGTTTGTGTTTTCAAAAGTGATTTCCGTCATTCTTATAAGCATTTAATTGAACTGACCAAAAGAGAATCAAAGAACAAAAAGAAGCTTAGAATGAGAAAACGGAAGTAAAAATCAAACCACTTGGTTCCAAAAATCATAAATAGGAGCACTGCTTTATAACATAATAAAAGAGATGAGGCAGTCTTACTGTACAGATTCTGGTTAGTGGTTCAATAAACAAATACAACAGAAACTACCATGAAAAATACCCTAATTGGAGCTATAAACCACTACATTGCAAGGAACAACATAAAACTATCAGCATACGAGGTTACGGTTAGTCGCCACATCGAAAACTCTTACAGGGACTCCTCTTCGTTTGCCAATCACAAAGAAAGGTTCCGCTTCGTTGCTTCCATTTTTAACAAAAGATCCCTTATATCGGCTTCCATTCTCAGCTTCATATTGGAGTATTCACGATGCGCTCGGTCTAGAGCTTGCAGTTCTTCAAGTTTCTTGCTGTTCTGCCTCGACTAAGCGCAACTTTGCTATCCTGTTCCTAAATTCTTCTTCAATTTTTTCATTCTTTGCCATTGCTATGCGTTTCAGCCCCTCAGCTTCTCTTCTTGCGTCATCTGCTCGTGTTTGGAATATTTTTGCCTCGGCCTGCTTGATCCTCACAATGCTCTCCAGCTCATCAAAAAGAGGTTCTTTTTGGGCACTTGTGTGCAACTCTGCGTCCATAATGCGTTTCTCATGCTGATCGTAGTTAAAACTGGGATGAGTGTTAGCTGCAGTCTCCAACTGAGGGACCTTCTCAGCGTATATTGATTTCAGCCACGCGGGTTCCTGGCTTGGCTCAACAATTCCATTGCTCGCTTTAATTTGATCCTTCTCCGATAAGATGGGTGTTTTGCCTAGCTTGGAACTGTCAGCATCTGAAACAAAAGTGGAAGACTTATTTAAAAACAGTACAGTTTCCAGTTAACTAAGCACAGTATTACAACAGAGAACAAAAAGGCACAACTTTGAGACTCAATAAGGGCTTGAGTTTTCTGCTTCGGGATTTTGTACTCCTGCTATGTCATAAATATTCTCACATCAGCACAAAAAAGCGGTTCAGAGACATGGATACGGATGTATTTAGGCCAGGCATCAAACTGAATCCCGAAAGCCATAATCCTAAGAACACGAAGCTTCAAGCAAGCCAAGCAAATAATGTAAGTTCTATAGAGAGCAAACACTTGTTTATCGTGTAAAAGTGTTTTGGAATAATAAGGAGACTAACATTAGCTACGTGGAATGGCTTTACAGAAATTGTATAATAAGGATAATAGCCTCAAGCAATCTCGATAGAGCTAGGACTCTATTATCTGATATGTTTATTAGGGTTTTCACGGTGATAAAGATAGTTTGATAAGGATTACATAATGGGAAGTGTCCTGATGAACTCCATCGTTTATGGTATAAAACTAGGGTCCCTGCGCTCTCACAAACACACAAGTTTTCAGATACTCAAGCCCCATTGATTGAGCCTTGTATTCGGTAGTGCAGAGTTGCAGAAGAATCCTTTTAATTCAAGCAGCAATGTCTTCATCAGGTAAGTGATGAAGTTGGTATCGTGATTTAGTTTCTATAAGTTATACACTTACAGTTGGTATCAGAGCCTTCACATATCATCTTAATCCTATGTTGGAGGCATCGAGAATTTTTGTTTTCTTATTGCTGTGCAGGTTACAGAACTGGTAACATATTATCTGGGAAAAACAACACGAGTATGTGATGGCTAAGGCCATTCTTATTCGTGTGGGTTTTTCATCTTAATATGTATACCAAAAATGGCACTTGAACACAAATCGTGGACGCTGATCTTCTAAAGAAGTTCAGATGTTCATATTTAGTTTTTTGAGTGGCATATCATTTTGGTAGCCAATACATGAATACAACTATCATTGTCAGATCATAAAGATCTATAATCATAGTTAAAGAAATTCATGTATCAGCTACAAAAGTGATATGAACAAAGAAAATAATCACAGCTTTCATCAATCTAAAGAATGTTGATTTTTGTGATATATGGTTTGGGGATAAGGATTAATATTCGAAAGTTTTATGCTTTGACAGCGTTGAACCCTAGCTCCATGAACCTCAACACTGTTGAACCACTTACTTGTATCAACTATAAGAAATGGAAACAG